CTGGGAGGATTGAGGACAAACTTTTAATTTTGTGAAAGTGCTTTGAGTTTCTCGAGCAGAGCAGACAAATACAAGGGCTGGCAGGTAGGTGCTGCGGAGGCCTCCCTTCTACCTTACGTCCTGGATGGGTCTACCCGGAGCTGCTAGAGGCCCGTGTGCTAGCACAGGCACAGGCCCAAGGAAATGGACAATCCCCTTCATGGATTCGTGACGCTTTCTCTTCACAGACACTCCCGTCTCTGGTCACTGACCAGCACCCCACAAGGACATGTGCAGATCATTAAGGGAACATGGAGATCTGTGTTCTGAAACCAAGGCCATCTGTCTTAGCCTGCAGTTAGTAACATAAACCTCTCCTGCCTGTGGGTTGTTTCTTTTCTTTTCTTTTATAATATATTTTATTGTGTTTTGTGTGTTTTTTTACAGAGAGGAAGAGAGAGGGATAGAGAGCTACCGTAGAAACATCGATGAGAGAGAATCATTGATCAGCTGCCTCCTGCACACCCCTTACTGGGGATGTGCCTGCAACCAAGGTACATGCCCTTGACCGGAACCCGGGACCCTTCAGTCCTCAGGCCGACGCTCTAGCCACTGAGCCAAACCAGTTCTGGCGTGTGGGTTGTTTCTTGTTTTGTTTTGTTTTTAATTTGTTTTGTTTTTTAGATTAAAAAAATAAATGTTAATTTCTTTTTTTTATTGTTTTGGTGTGTGGTTGTTTTTTTTTTGTTGTTGTTGTTTTTTACATATATTTTTATTTATTTCAGAGAGGAAAGCCAGAGGTAGAGAGAGAGATAGAAGCATCAATGATGAGAGAATCATTGATGGGCTGCCTCTGGCACACCCTCTCCTGGGGATCAAGTCCACAACCTGGGCATGTGCCCCTACCAGAATCAAACCTGGACCCTTCAGTCCACAGGCCGACGCTCTACCTACTGAGCCAAACCAGCTAGGGCTGGGTTTGTTTTTCTAAAAGGTAATCAGAAGAAAATCAGATGTGCTTGAATAGATCAGCTACTCGTTTTTAGAAAGATGGGGGGAAGGGGGATCCCCATATTTCTCCAAAAACTCATCTAGTATATTATTTCTCTTTCCCACAGAGATTAGTACTGGGGAGAAACTTAGTGATGCTTGGGTTAGGCTGAGACAATGAGTGACCTGCTCAAGGTCACTAAGCAGGTCAGTGGCAGAACCAGAAGTTGAAAGCCAAGCCCTCGTGTCCTGGCCCAGTGCACTGTGGGTTCCACAGCGCGGCTCCCAGATTAGATCATCCATGCTTTCTGAGCGTGGATTGTGTAACCCTCCACAGCTGATTGCCAAAGAAGCTAGGTAGGCGGGTAATAAAGGAGACGGCTAAAATGTTTGTGCAAGCACTCCAGATTCTCATAAAAACCTGAAGGAGAGCAAGCCGGAAATAGAAGGTGGGCTGAGGGCGGGGTTACGGGGGTGGAGGGGTAGCTGGTGGGCGTTCCCGTGCGAAGGACTTCCTATGCGTCAAAGTCACATGCGCTGACGACATGAAGGGCATCCTTTCCAGACTCCGCTATCCTTCCTGCCATGAGTGGCGGCCAGGCCACCAAAGGGTAAAGGGGACACACGCTGTGGAGTCTCGCTTCAGATCCTCAGATCCTGGGGAAGCGGGGAGAGGGCCAGCCAGCCCACACCACAGCTGACAGGGAACATCGGAGCTCTCCCTGCTTAAGTGCTTAACTTCCATCATCACATTCGCCCTCATAGCAGATCAGTTCTATCATCAGTCCCATGTCAGGAGAAGAGGAAACGGAGGCTTGGAGAAATGTAGTAATCGGCCCAGGGTGACAAAGCTAGTAACGTCAGAATTCAGATTCTCCTGGGCAGAGAGTGGTGGTTGGAACTGTGGCCCCCCTAGCCTGCTGGCTGTGAGGTGTTCCACAGCTTTCTTAGCCTCCTCAAGCTTCCCTTTCCTCCTCCATGAAGTCGTAACATAATTATAGCCTTTGCTTTATAGGTTTGTGGTGGTGATTAGAGAAGGTAACGTAGTAACTACTGACACATAGTTAATTACCAGTTGTGTGAAAGTTAACTACAGGTTGAATCACATGGAATTGCCATCGTAGCAGACCAAACATCGTTCAAGATAGACCATTTCATGTGGCTCAGTCTAATCCCACATAGCTGTCCATTCTTTGTAAATACAACAACGGTTCCCTTAGTCACCTCATAATCGGTGAGAAGAGAGGTGACTTAATTGCTTCACTATAATTTTTTCCCCCCTTTACTGGCCTGCTTGCTTTAGCTTCTCTAAAGAATCCCAAAGAGATTTCCTCTCTTCTCATGTTGCCTAGCACCCACAAGGACAGTTCCCAGGGCCACCAGCTGGTTGAGGCTGTTGTCACAGGGAACTTGGTGGAGAGTAGGTTTGAAGTGAACTGAGACTGGGCAAAGATAGACTATGAGGAAATTTCTGGTGAAATGAAGAGGGAAAGGAGAACAATTTTATTATATTAAAGGGATATGTTAAAATTGGTATTTCCTCAAATAGTTTATTTTTGTTGACAGTTTTTATGTTTTCTCCATATATAAACAGAAGTAAGCAAAGGTATGGTTAGTTTCTTTCAGTGGTAAAAACTTTGTTTCTAAGTATTCCTGTGGTTTGTAGTATCACCATTTTAATTTTCTTTTTATTTATTTATTTATTTATTTAAATTTTATTGATTATGGTATCACATAATTGCCCTCATTCTCCCATTCCCATCCCAAACCCCTCCCTACATATGCCCTCACCCCCCTGTTGTCTATGGCCACTGACTAGGCCCATATTGTTATTAATTGTTCAAAAGTCACCATAAGTTCTTAGAATCATAGAATTTGCACAGTAAAAGACATATGACAGCCCTAGCTGATTGGGCTCAGTAGATGGAGCATTGGCCTGCAGACTGAAGGGTCCCAAGTTCAATTCCAGTCAAAGGCACAAGCCCTCGGTTTGCAGGCTCGATCTCCAGTGGGGGGCATGCAGGACACAGCCAGACAATCAATGATTCTCTCTAATTGATGTTTCTATCTCTATCTCCCTCTCCCTTCCTCTCTGAAATCAATAAAAATATTTTAATAAAAGAAAAGAAAAGAAATGAAGAGGGAGTGGTTTTGGCTCCTTTAAACCACCGTGCATGTTCTGCTGTTTGAGGGAATGGCATTCCCACACTAGGCAGCTAATTATGATAAACCAGTGATCATTAATATCAACTGGTGATCGTTCTGCACTGTATGAGAAAGGAGCTCCTTGTCAGCGGCAGGAGGTTAAATCTGACACATTAATGTCATGGCCCGGCTGCTCTTGGACTCCGGCTCAGTGGGAGTCGTCTCTGATGAAAGGACATGCAACTCAGCTGTTTTGGGAGAAAATATAAGGGGTTGGGGTGAGGGAGAGAACATAAAACGGGGGTAAGAATTTTGCCCACCTAAAAGGAAGAGAAAACTGAGACTTAGAGAAGTTTAGTAATTGGCCCAGAATTACAAAGCTAGTGAATGCCAACGCCAGAACTCAGATTCTCTTCCACAGTGTGGTTCAAACTATGGGCTCTGGAGTCAGGTCCCAGGGTGTGGACCCCCTAGCATACCTTTGAAAGAATGCATGGATGGTACAAGACCGAGGAGGAGGCATCTCGTCTGAAAGATGATTCTCTGCCCCGCCCTGACCACTGTTCCCATCTCACACTTGCCTCGATTCTGTTTCCTTAGATTGCACATTATAGGAATATAAATAGCTCTGGAATCCAAGTAGCATTCTGGAGACCAAGCCTTCCTCGTGAATACAGTCTTTAAATAAAAGTCACTTCAACATTAAGATGAAATGTAATGCCATTTTTAAGGACGCTTGAGACTTACTTGGTGTCTAGAATAGAAATTACTACTGCATGTAGAACATATTGCTTCCTGTGAATTCAGAATTCTTTTCCCTATTCTTTCTTTCCTCATCTAAAAAATAATCTGTAGCCCTAGCTGGTTTGGCTTAGTGGATAGAGTGTTGGCCTGCGGACTATAGGGTCCCGGGTTCAATTGCAGTCAAGGGCATGTACCCTGGTTGCGGGCACCATCCCCAGTAGGGGGTGTGCAAGAGGCAGCTGATCGATGTTTCTCTCTCATCAATGTTTCTGGCTCTCTATCCCTCTCCTTTCCTCTCTGTAAAAAATAAATAAAATATATTTTAAAAATAAAAAATAATCTGTAAGACTTTTAACAATTCTTTAGCAAGAAGGTTTATAAGTGATCTGTGAGTCCTATGATGTGTTTCTCCCACCATGGGCAGCTGTACAGTAATGAAAACGTATTTACATGCCCATGAACGCGGACACACTCGGGGTCCCATTTTCTTTCTGTGGGCACTGTTCCTTTCTTCTCTTCGTGCCTGTGGTTACTGTTACGCTGACCCCTGTATATTTGATCTGGGGCAAATCCCAAGACTGGAAAGGAGCACTATAATACTTACCCACCCGCTGCAAAGGGTTGCAGTTTCAGAGCTCAGGTAATAGAGTTAAGGAAAATTCCTATCACTGGTGGCGGTTTAGGAAACCTGTTATGATTCCATCCACAGATGTGAGCTGCCAGCCACTCCACAGCGGTGAGTTTTATAAAACGCAGCCTTGTTGTTGTTGTTGTGTGTTTTGTTGTTGTTGTTTGTTTGTTTGTTTGTTTTTCACAAGTAGTCTCTTTATAAGCATTTGTGTCCGAGGTGATTTTTGCAATGTTGGATTTTATTGTTGGAAACAATGACTGTCGAAAGATCTTTCTTTCTCTTTGATTCTCCCTCTCTTTCTCCTAGTTTCTCATTGGACACTATTGCTTGCAAAAAACAAAACAAAAACAAAAAAAACAAAAAAAAAACACAGCTGATTAAAAATTGAACTTATTCAGCTGCAGAGAAGTCTAAGTGGAGACTGGCCAGGAGCAGAAGGAGGAGGAGAAAGGGGAGGGGGCGGGGGGCGGGGCACTCCACAGTTCAAGCTCCCCTTGCAAGCCCATCTGTCTTACCTTCACTTCATTGCCACCCCAGATCACAGTGCATCCCGTTGTGTACGAGTCCAGGGACCTTGAGCGGCGCTCTTTGGAGAAGGGCCGGGCCCGGCCCGCCCGTTCCCGCCCGCTCCCCTGGCCGCCGCCGGACAAATCGCTCTCCGCCGCGTGTGGGCCGGAGCGCGCGGCCGCCAGCGCCGCTGCAGGAACCGGTTCTGGTTCTGGCCGCGCTCCCCCCGCGGGGGCTGCTGTCAGGCGTGCGGCCGCGATTGGCTGGGAGGCGGCAGTCACCCGCCCTGCCTCTGCCCGCGGCTAATCAGCGCAGCCGTTGGCCGCAGCAGGTTCGGAGCGAGGTGCCCGCTGGTGTCAGACACCTGTCTCTGCTGGGCTCTGCCCCGCTGGCGCTGCTGGCTCCTGGGGATTCTTTCCGGCCTGGACGCCACCTCTCCCAAGCCGCCGAGCCCCCCTCGGCGGGCCCAGCGGGGCCCAGGGTCCCCCTGCACAGGGATGTCCAACAGACAGCTGAGGACAATGAACATGCTAGCTTAAGACGTCCTTAAGGTAAGTCCATTTTAAACCAGGTATTTCTTTTTTTGTTTTTGTTTTGTTTTGTTCTTTTTTTTATTAAGGTATTTTTTTTTTATTGAGGTATTATATGTGTACATATCTTTACATTGCCCCCCCCACACACACACACACTCCCATATATGCCCCCCCCCCCGGAGTTTCATCCATTGGTTTTGCTTATATGCATGCATACAAGTCCTTCATAAACCAGATATTTCTCAACGTTGTATGTGCCACCTCTATCTGGACAGAAAGGCCGGTTTGGAGAAGGTACACTAAAGAGAGGTGGGGAAGTGTACTTGAGGCTGCTGTGATGAAATCATCAAGTTATTCGCCGTCAGATGTGCTTTTGCAAAATGATACCAAGGCATAACCAGGGAAGATGGAAATTTGGATGAGGGTCCCGGACAAATGGCTGCAACCCTGTCAGGCAATTGACACCTCGTTGTGTACTCCTTCCTACTTGACCAGGAGCTCACATGAAGGTAGAATAGAGTAACTTTAATTAGGGCCAGCACATACGCTGTGTGTGGATGGTATACTAGAAAGTGAAGCTGAACATTCTAGCTCCTTCCATTCATGCCACCCCAGCATGGCTAGTCTCATTCTAATTACCACTTATTTTTAAAGCTTCCTTGAACTTTTTTCTCTTGTAATATGAAAGCAGTCTTTCTTTTTAAAGATTTGCTCAATATCAGGGAATTTGTTCAACATCGGGGAATTAGTAAATTAGTAGGGGGGGGGGGCAGGTTGATTGTCTTGCTTCACTCCACTCATCCTTATGTTCAAGGGAGAGTCAGATTCTTAATGCTTGCACCCAAATGTGAGCAACAGATCCTTAGGATTATTAAGCCATGATTCTGATGGACCTAAGTTCTGATTTCATTTTACTTGTAAGCTGATTGACAAATACATCAAGGACCCTCCTGTCTTCCCCTTGGGTTGCTGTCAGCACATTTGTCACTCTAGGATTTAGTCATCCAAGGTTGGTACAAAGACTAGTGGTTTGGGACTTTCTTGCTTACCAGTCCTGCCTGTTTTGCTCTGAGAGGGAGGAAGTAATTTTCCTTTTGATTTTTTTTTTTTTTTTAATGAAAACGTGCTTTTAGTGAATAAAGATCTGTTTGTAAATCCAAAGAGGTTCCGAGACTACTTTTCCCATCTTATTAATTCCAAAACTATAAACACCTACATGAAACAAGGGTGTTTTCTAATTCTGAATGGCCTGTTCAAGTAGCAAGCAGTAACAGAGACCAAATGGAGCTGGCGATAAGCATATATGAACCATTCCCTTGAAATCTATGTTAATCATCCTGAAATGTGTGTTTTTCTTCCAATGTTCACAGCCAATTGGAAATTTCCATCTTTCTCCTCTAACTCATCTTTGTAAAAACATTTTTTCTATAATAAGTTCAACATGTCAGTAATGCTAAAAATGGCTGCTTTGATGAATAAAAGCATCAGAAATGACAGTCCCCATTGAGTGAAATGGGATCATCACACAAGTCTACAGCAATCATTTTAAATATAATGTGCGTGCAAATAGAGCAGATGGTTGGTGGTAAATGAAAAATCAGATTGGTTAGTAGGTAAATACTAAGTGAATTTATAAATATTGAGAGAGTTAAAGGAGAAATGGACTTTGGAAAGCTAAATAAACGTATTTAGCATTGACTTACATTTCAAAATTCTATATTCGCTTATGAATTACATCTAGAGAGTGTATAAATCAAAGATTATTTCCTGGTCTAAGGATAAGTCATTTTTGTATGGGGAAGGATAAATACCACCTCAGCCCTAATCACTACCTCAAAAAAAAAAAAAAAAAAAAAAAAGCCTAAATACACTATACACAAAAAACAACTCTGTGTCCTGAAGAGGTACAGGAAGGAAGAGAAAGCTAGTTGAAAAGCTTCTATCGCTAGTTAAAAAGGAAATAAAGTCACAAAAAAAAAAAAAAAACCCACCCACATTTTAAATTGAGTATAGAAGGCCCTGGTGCATATCTGCAATGTACCAGGGACCCCCAACTATGTAATTTAACACAAGTGTCAACTAAAATACATTATTTCATCCCAAGAACAGTATCATTAGAGAGTTAGACTGGGGCAAGGGATTAATTATCTTAAGTTCATTTTCTCCCAGTGACAATTTTTAAAAGTCTCCTGTCTGGAGCTGTGGAATGTCTGCCGGGCTGTCAGCTGCTGCGGTGAGGGTCCCTCACAATAGCTCACCCTGGGCCGCCCTCCCAGACATGCTGCGTACCCTTGGCTCTCTGTCTGAAAGGGTCGGCTATGCAAACAGAAGCTGCCTGCGTCAGACCTCCCTCCCAGCAGCTCCCTCTCGAGGCTTCCCTTCCTCAAAAGGAGTCCGAGGTCTCAGCCTCTGCTTTGACTTTTCAGAGCTGGGCAGCCTGTGAGCTAAAGGCTGAATGACAGCTGGGCAAAACCTCCCTTTGCTGGATGTGCAAAGGACAAGCTAGCTGGGGCCCTTAGCCCTGGGCACATGGGCAAAGAAAGAGTTTCCTCATCTCCACTTCTCCATAGATGGCTTCATTAAAATGTCCGTGTCACCTATGCATCACCCATGGACACAGACAATAGGGTGCTGACGGCCTGGGATGGAGGGGTGGTCACTGGGAGGAAAGGGGACAAATGTAATAGTTTCAACAATAATAATTATTATTATTTTTATTTTTTAAATATATTTTATTGATTTTTTACAGAGAGGGAGAGAGAGGGATAGAGAGTTAAAAACATCGATGAGAGAGAAACATTGGCCAGCTGCCTCTTGCACACCCCCTACTGGGGATGTGCCCACAACCAAGGTACATGCTCTTGACCAGAATTGAACCTGGGACCCTTCAGTCTGCAGGCTCTATCCACTGAGCCAAACCGATTTTGGCAAAAATTATTATTATTTTTTTAATGTCACTGGTTAACACAAAAAAAGCAGCACTCTTTGTTAGATGAAACCTCTCAAAGCCTTTTTTTTTTTTTTTCAAAAACTTCCAGCAATTCCAATGTTCACATCTCAGGACAAGCAGATGACTTTGAAAGGCAGGAACCTAAGCAGTCTGGACTCATTTGCCCTCTTAGTTGGACAGATTAGATTAAAAAAAAGAGAGAGAGCGTCAGCTGATGGCGGCTGTGCGCATTCGTGGCATATCATCTGGTATCACCAGGAGCAAAGCTCTTAGGATCTTCGTGAACTGAAACCGGCAGGATTGCTCTGACGTCCTGTAGAGTGATCCAGGGAGCGCTGGCGTCAGACACTCAAGTAGGACTTCGCTCACTTGTACACTCCAGGCCCGGTTTAGAGCCACAACCTGGAGGTGGAATTTAAATGAGCCCCACCCTGAGAAGCTATGGCTGTTTAGAATTACTTGGTTTTTTCCAAGTACCAGCGCCGCTTGGTGGCCCAGTAAAGCTACCAGTAGACCCTCCCCACCAAAAACAGTGGTCAGCATTCAGGGCCAGCCCTCCAGGGGTGGTGGGGCCAAGCAATCAGAGCGCCGAGGGGGTGGGGTTCAAGTTACTTTCTTATCTCTTACCTGGGAGCGGTGAAGGCCCTCCCTGATCCAGCAGTAATTTCCCAGTGGTTTATTAATCATGGCTCATTCGTTCCTCCATCTGATGCTTGGAGGTCAATGTCATTGTCCCAGTTTGGAAGACAGAGAAAGGCGATGAAATAGAAAGATTTGCCCAGCAGCACCAAGAAGTTAGCGAGAAAGTAGACATGCATTTCCTTTTCTCTATATGTCTTTTTCTCAAAAGAAAAATTCCGGAACCCTTCGAACCTCTCCCTCAGCGATTCTGTCTGGGCACTAAAACTGCTACCGTCCAAAAAATGTGCTGCTCTCTTCCCGGGGTCGCCCTGTGACTGGGAGGGGCTCAGAGGCTTACACACAACAGGGAATGAATTAGGTGTGGAGTGTGGTGTGCATTTCTGAGTGCATGTGCATATGTGTGTATTTGTGCACATGTATGTGTGCCTGCATTGCACATGTGTGCCCAGCAGCTCTCCTGAACAGCTCAAACCCTAGGGGTATGGGGTAAAAGTTTGTCTGAAACCTAAAGAGAGAAGGACAGCGACCTCTCTGCTATGGGCTTTTCCTAGAGAGGCCTGACCACTCATTTATAACAGATTTCAGCTGGGCCACTTGACAAGGGAGGCTGGCCCAGGAGCTGTGGGTGAGCTAGTCAGAGGGCAGCAGGCGGGACTTGCCCCCGAAGGTATGTCAGGAATGTTAATGGCATGCCTGAGTGGAGGGCTTCAGAGCCCAGCGCTGGGACTGAGCACTGTCTGTGGCCATCTGTTGAGGCCCAGGAAGTCTCATAGCAACAGCTTCTCAAGAATGGTGCTTTTTAAAAATTTTAATTAAAAATAACTAACAAAAAGACCCCACACACAAACACTGCTCCAGTGCCCAAGAAGAATCAGGACAGCATTCAGATTCTTTCCACAGAGTGATGAGCTTTTAAGGAAGAAAAGCCCCCGTATCTTTCATTCCCATTCTTTAAAAGAGCAATTTGTAGTTGGTTTTGAGGTCTTCATTTCCCCTCCCCGGGGGTAGAATTTTTTTTTAAGGTGAAAACAAGTTTCTAAACCCATGGAGAAATACTTGACAAAAATATGGTTAAGAAAAAAAGCAGTCAGGGTTTTGAGATTCCCTGGTATTCGTTGCTCTTAGCAATGCTGTCAGCCGCTGCAAAGTGTGAGCTTTAAGCCCAGCTGTTTAGTTAGTGAAATGAACTTCAGACAAAGGCACCGATTTCACTGTCATGATGTATGTGCACCAACGTGAATCTCTTCGATCTATGTATTGGTTGACCTTAGAAAAAGAGGGAAGGGAAGTGATATTGGTAGCTTTAAATGTGTTTTTTGTTTTGTTTTGTTTTATATTTTGTTGTTTTTTTACAGAGAGGAAGAGAGAGGGACAGAGAGTTAGAAACATCAATGAGAGAGAAACGTCGATCAGCTGCCTCCTGCACATTCACCACCAGGGATGTGCCTGCAACCCAGGCACACGTCCTTGACCGGAATCGAATCCGGGACCCTTCAGTCCACAGGCCGACGTTCTATCCACTGAGCCAAAACCAGTTTTGGCAAGTTTTAAATGTTTTAAGTTAACCATGAACAACAATTGCCGTAGTTCCTCAGGATACGAGCCCCTATAAAATCATGGACACCTCAAGCCTGGCTGGCAGCGGTGTGTACAGGGACAGGCCCACTAGCCCAGGGTCAGCAAACTCATTAGTCCACAGAGCCAGATGTCAACAGCACAACGATTGAAATTTCTTTTGAGAGCCACATTTTTAAACTTAAACTTCTTCTAGTGCCACTTCTTCAAAATAGACTCACCCAGGCCGTAGTATTTTGTGGAAGAGCCACACTCAACGGGCCAAAGAGCCGCATGTGGCTCCAGAGCCGCAGTTTGCAGACCACGGTGCTAGCCCCAACAAAATAAGTATATTCCATTCTGAATTCTACCCCTCACTGGGCTATTTTAGGAAAGTACGTAACCTCTGAGAGAGTAGTTCCTCTTCTGCAAATTGGATTTCTGCATTGTTCGGAAGGTTAAATGTAATAACATAAAAGGCACTCTGGGAAGTGCCCTTTGAGTGTGAATGACGTCTGTAAAGGAGTGTTATAGTCTGTCATTCTTGCCATTGTCCAACCCTGGGAAAATATTTTCATGAGAACTTTTATATTCTCTTCATATTTTCACTTGACATTTTTTCGTTTCCCTCAATTCTTATCAAATAAAGTTTCCCAGTAGAATCACAAAATAATACAAGTGACTTTGCATATACATATGTACTTATTTACTATAGGACACATGTGGACGAATTCTTGATACTCTTGATTATTAGTGTGTATTTCTACTCATGAAGTATGATTCAGATTTAATGTATTGCCCCTGATGGTCAAGGGTTATGTCCCTACCCCTCAGGAAAAGGATGTGTACCCCAAAGTTTGAGTTCTTGAGTGTGGGTTCCTAATGGAGTCTGTTTTTCTATAAAAAGCATGACCACTTACCCTCTATATTTCTTCATGTGCAAAATTTAACCAACAAATATGTATGGAGTTGCCTGCCATGTGCCAGCTGTGTTTCTAGGTCGTGAACAAAAGTAGACTAAAATCTTTGCATACATTCTGGTCCAGGGAGACAGACACCAAGACCCCAAACAGGTCAATCATGTTGAAAGTTATAAAATGATAACTGGTATGGAAAAAAAACAAAGCAGGGCAGTATGTTATACAGAGGCACAGGGGGCACTGACATTTTCTAAAGGTGGTTGGAACAGGCTGCACTAAGCAGGTGATATTTGAAGGAAGACTTGAAGGGGTGAGAGACTGAGCCTTGAAGTGAGCTGGGGAAAAGCTCTCCACACAGAGAGAATGGCAAGTACAAAGGCCCTGGGGTAAAGAGTAGATGACACTGTCTGGTGAGGAAGAACCAGGAGGCCGAGAAGGAGGGGCAAAGGCCAGAGCTTTCTGGGCCACTGGGAGACGTTTGGCTTTTACTCTGAATGACCACCTTGAGAACTTACTTCTCAGAGCTTTTGCAAAGTTTAAATAAAGTAACTTGTGTAAGGCCTTTAGCCCAGGGTCTATCACATAGAAAATCTTCCATAATTGTTAGCTCTTGTCCTTTTGTTTAGCACCACTACCTAGGATCCAATGGTAGAATGATGTGATCACACCGAGGAGTTCTGTTCTGTTCAACGCTGATTCCTCTTAATAAGAATTAAACTCCAAGTCTTGGCTTCTCAAGTATTCAGCTATATCACCTAGGAAGGTCCCCCATTCAGTATCTTCACACATAGAGAGGGAAAAACTTAGTTTTTAAAAACCGGCCTTGTTTAAACTAAACCACTGTTTCTATTGTGAAAGTGAGAAGTCCATACTCTCCAGGGACAGGCGTAT